CATGTGCGTGTGCGCGCGCGCGTGTGTGTGTGTGTGCGTGTGTGTGTGTGTGTGTGTGTGTGTGTGTGTGTGTGTGTGTGTGTGTGTGTGTGTGTGTGTGTGTGTGTGTGTGTGTGTGTGTGTGTGTGTGATTGCGAGTGACGTGCGCAGATGCATGCGTCAACCCCCCCCCCCTTCCCACTGACACACTGACACACACACACTGACACACACGCAAACATACACACACACGCACACACATCCACCCCTCCCCCGCGCCCACCTCCTTCCTCCACCCAACAATGGCAGTGTCATCGAGCGACTGCCTGCCTGGTTTTGGCATGCAGCAGATTGGCCTGCTGCTGCTTCCGCGCGTGACCGCGCTCATGTACGGCGTTGACGGTGTGCAGCTGAGGCACATGCCGTGGAAGTATCTCCTCACGTGGCTCGTCGCGCCCCACAACGCCTACTTTCACTATGGGCTCGAAGCATACGGCCTGTCCCTGGGAACCATCCTGACCCACACCCTCCGTGTCACGGCAGCCGCGTTTGGGCCTGTCATGGATGCTGCCATTGTGCAAGCTTGCCTTGGTCTCGCTGGTATCACCCTCTCCCGCACCAACTACCAATACATCTACAGAACGCTTCCGGTGCGCGTGTGTTTGTGCGTGTATCTGTGGCTGTGTGCGTGTGTGCCTGTGTGTGTGTGCCTGTGTGCGTGCGTGTGTACATGTGCGTGTACGTGTGCGTGCGTGTGTACATGTGCCTGTGTATCTGTGGCTGTGTCAATGACGGTGTCTGTGCCTGTGCCTGTGCCTGTGCCTGTGTACCCCCCCCCTTCACACACACACGCGCGCGCGTCTGGCACCTCTCTCCATTCCCTACCTTCCCTGCTTTCTCTGACTGCTCATCGTCGTCAACGACACCACCCCATCCACCTCCCTCTCCCTCCCATACTCTTACCTTCTCCCCACCCCCCACTGCAGATGATTGCGCATGCGCTCAGCCTTGCTGCGCTGTTTCTCGACTACTATAGCGGCTGGTACATCAGTAGCATGCGTCTTATGCTTGCGCTACGGGATGCGTACATCGTCGTGGGTCCGGCCATTGCTCACGGCACATGGCAGCTGCTGCAGCCCTTCCTGGCACAGTTCATGCCACAGCAGCAGCAGCAGCAGCAGCAACAGCAGTCCGCGGGCGACCAGCCCTCTCACGAGCACGCGCAGTAGCAAGACAAGGAAGGTGTGTTGTGTGTGTGTGTGTGTGCGCGCGTGCGTGTGTGTGTTGTGTGTGTGTGCGCGTGCGTGTGTTGTGTGTGTGTGTGTGTGTTGTGTGTGTGTGTGTGTGTGTGTATGTGTGTGTGTGTGTGTGTGTATGTGTGTCATGTGACTGTGCTTGTTTTGCTTGTTTTGCTTTTTGTGTGACATGAACATGTAACGTGCTTGTCCTCGTTCCTTGTGCATGCTCACACGGCCCCATCCACCCACCATGAACAAGTCTTCCTGCCGTGGCCTGCTGTGAACAATTCAGGAGCTTCAAGTACAGAATCGCTGTTTCCAACCATGTTATTGCAAAGTGGCGGGAAGACAAAGCGCTGCCTTGATGATTTTGAACAATTTCCTCCCCATGACGTCATCATCATAATAAACGCCTGGCCTAGTGGTAACGGTCGTGCTTGTGCGCAATGAAACTTGCAAGCAACACACACACACACACACACACACACACACACACACACACACACACACACACACACACACACACACACATGTACACACATGTACACACACATACACACACATACACACACACATATACACACACACGGCTGACCACAACAAGCCCGTGACCACCACCTCCTGCCACTCAGACAAAGAGACAACAGCAAAAATGGCGCCCCCTTCCCACTCCAACAACTCATATCACCGCATTCCACTCCCAGCAGCATACTCCCTCCGCGCCCCTTTCACTGTGCCGCAACTCATTTAAACCCACCCCAAGCTACCCCAGCAACCCGCGTGGTTGAGCTTCGCAGTTTCCCACTGGTGTGGCATTTCCCCTCCCCACTGTTCCCTCCCACAGCCTCACGCAGACAGCCACCGCACACTTGATCCCTCGAGGCACAGGCCGCCTCTCCTGCTATTCTGCAGTTCGCAACCTTCTCTCCCGTTGGCTCAGTTGGGTTCCATTCCACAGGTCCGTTTCTGATCCACCCACAGAAACACCACCCCTGCCCCCTCGCATGCACATGCTTGACCACCCGCAGCGCGGCCGTCGTGCACACATGCATTGGCTGCTCACTCTACATCTAAAACTCGGAACCTCCCACTCACTTTCACTTGCCAACACCACCGCTACACAAATGCATTCACCGCAACACCAATGCATTCACGCATGCGCTTCCTCACCTTCCCAACCAATCATCACCAACACGATACCCAAACACGCACACACACACATACATACACACACACACACTGTCTGTCTGTCTGTCTGTCTCCTCCTGCTCCCCTCTCTCTGCAGCGATATACATTGTTACCACCACGCCAAGACCCCCCTCCTCTCTCCCAACCACCACAAGAGCTTCCGAACCTCAGTCAACGGCAGTGTAACGGTTCACGTTCAACGGGCAACACCATGGACATCGGCATTCACCGCAAGCCCTCGGCGCAGGCACACGCGAACCCCTGCAGACCAGCACCAGCAACCGCAGCGCCACTAGCTTCCCCTGCGCCCAGCTGCCCGTCATCCTCGCCATCATCATCACGATCCCCGTCACCATCATCCACATCCACAACTGACACTTGCGCCGCATCCACACCAGCACGGAACCTGGAACGAACGTGCTCCGCAGCATCCATTGCGTCTTCCGCTCCCTGCCCACCCTCCAATACCACTTCACGATCTGTGTCCCCAGCTTCCGTTGTTTCCAACGCCTGCCTTTCGTCTGCTTCCCGGTCCACATCTCCGTTCCACACGCACCACGGCAACAGCACCAGGCACGACACCCACACCAGCAACCACAAGCACAGGCTGTCACTCGCCGCACCCTTTGCGCCCATTGCGGAAGGGTTTGAGCCAGAGCACGAGTCTGCAAGCAACCTCAGCACCATCAGCAACAGCTCCTCAAGTGTCGTCTCAGACCCCGACAGCACCAACACAGGCAGCAGCAGCAACAACAACAACAACAGCACCAAGTTTGCTCCCATTCGTGAGCGTGGCGACGACGGCAACCAGACAGGCTCTGCCCCACTCTCCTTTGCACTCCCCAAGCTCAGCTGCCCCACCCCGCTGCCTTCGGTGCCCACGACACCGACCCTGTTTCGCATCATGTCAGCACCACACCCTGGCGAGAGCTCCTTCAACATGCCAACAACATCCACGACAGCCGGAGGCGTGACAATGACTTCAGCAGCGCCAACCGCCCTCAGCCCACTGGCTTTCCTCTCCTCAGATGAGGTGTGTGCGTGTGTGTGTGCGGTCGTGTGTGTGTATGTGTGCGTGCGTGCGTGCGTGCATGCGTGTGTGCCTGATGTGTCGTGCTTTGCGCGTTTGGCGTTTTCAATTCATTCGACATGCACATGGCATGCGCCTTGCTCCCAAGCATGTGCTCACCATACGCACGTACTACTGCCACGTACGTAGGATCTCGCGTGGCTGATGCAGACCGATGACACGTTCTTGTTTCCACCGGCCGTGACGGGCACGCAGCCAGGAACTACGGGCAAGCTGCTGGCAAGCGTGGAGGGCGAAGATGAGGCCAATGACCTCACCCTGAGCAGCTCAAGCCTGGATCTCTTTACAGGCGCAACAACGTTGGAGTCATCGCATGGGCGAGAGCACCATATTCAGCAGCACAACCACCACCACCACAGCAGCAGCAACAGCAGCAACAGCAGCAACAGCAGTAACAGCATTAACGACCACAAACATGCGTACCGTCAGTACCAACAGCAGCAACAGCAGCAGTACCACAACGCAAAGCATCAGCAGCAAGGCCAGGGCTACATCACCTCGCAAAAGTCGGCCGACACCATTCAAGCCCTCGCTGCAGATTTGCAGGCGTCGGTGGGACAGCCTGCCCTGAACCCTTGCCACCGTCAGCGCCAGTACCAGCAGCACTACCAGCATCAGCAGCAGCACATGGAAACAGCGCACATGTATCATGCTCACACCGACAATGGGGTGGGTCATAATAGCACCACTGCGTCACACGCCCACCAGCCCCATTTCCCCACACACAGCACCGAACCATCGGCGCCAGCAGCAGCAGCAGCAGCGGCAACAACAGCAACAACGGCAGCAGCAATGGACCACCCATATGAGCAAGCCCACACGCTACATGCAGGCCCCGTGCGCATGGCCTCACCTCTGCCAGCACCGTCAGCTCTGCTCGATCAGGCACCGCTTACGGATGCAGACTGGAGCTTTCTGCAGTCGAGCGTGTTTGACGACCTGCTCGCAACGCCGCCAGAGGGTGGCAACGGCAGCAACAGCGGCAGCGGCAACCAGCACCACAACGTCACCGGTGCAGATGGTGTACTGCCTCTCCCAATGTCGTTCCAACAACAACAGCAGCAGCACGACGCAGAAGCGTCGCATGCGCAAAACAGCACCGCCAATGGTTCTCGCTCACAGACAATCGCAGCAGCAGGCAGCACGAACAAGGGCACTGGCTCATCACCGTCATCATCATCATCATCATCATCATCATCGCGGCGCTCTCCAAGTAGGGGAGGGCGGCGTGCAAAGGCAGCACACGGTCGTCGCACCGCCAGCCCAAAGTCACAACACAAGCAGCACAGGCAGAAGCGAAACGCGCAGACTGTAGCTGGCAGCAGTGACAGGTGTCACGATGATGGAGAGCAGCCATGGCAGAAGAGGAGCAAGTACAGCACAAGCAGTTCCGCTGAGGGTGATGCTGCCATGGTAGATGATGATGGCTGCACCCGTCCCTCGCTCGATGACATGCAAGTGACGCCGGAGGAGAGGCAGCTCATCGCCAAGCTGCGCAGGAACGCACTGTGCGTGGTGTGCCAGGACAAGGCCAAGCAAGACAAGGACTACTGCAAGTCATGCTACGGCATGGTGTACAAGCACGCGCGAACCATGGTGGCCAAGGTGTGTTGAGATGGTGCATGTGGTGTTTTGTTTGTGGTGTGCATGGTTGTTTACTGTGCGTGTTTGCCATGCGATTGAATGTGCGTTTGTCAATGCGTGCGTGTGTATGTGTGTGCTTGTAACTGGGTGCTTGTATGTGAGTTGTATGTGCTTGTGCGTGTATGACGTGAGAATGTGCTGTCGTTTGTGTGTGTGTGTGTGTGTGTGTGTGTGTGTGTGTGTGTGTGTGTGTGTGTGTGTGTGTGTGTGTGTGTCGTTGTGTGTGTGTGTGCGCGCGCGTGTGTGTGTGCGTGTGTGTGTGTGTGTGTGGCACATTATGCAGCAGCTGCCATGTTGATGACACAAGTCCACCACGCTCACACCCACATTGCATCAACCTGGCACAACCTACACTCCGTCCGTTCCCACTTGTCTCCAAATGCAATCAGGAGTTGCGCCGCGGGATCAACTTTGCCGACTTTTCATCGCCGCAGGGCGTGGCCGCACACCTGCTTGCCCTGACCAAGACCACCAAGTTCAAGGGCTGCAGGTGCAGTGGGGAGTGCCCGCGAAGCGCCTTTCACAAGTCTGTGCACAAGAAATGCACAAAGTGTCGTCTTCTCGCCTGCTTCCGCCTCCTTCCCGGTGTGTAGACGGCAGCGTGTCAATGTACACGCACATGTGTACTCGTGTACACGTGTACACCTGTACATGCATAGTTGTGTGAAGGCGTGCGTACGTTTGTGCTGTGTCTGTGTGTGTTTATACGTGTTGGTGTGACGTGTTGCCACGCTCCCCCTGTTGCGCTTTCCACCAAAGCGCTCACACCAATCCTTCACGACCACGACCACGACCACATTCACCACCACCATCGCACTCACTCACACGAACATTCATGTTAACTGTTGTGTGCCGACAGATCTCGCGGATCGCCTGATGAAAGGTGCCATGGCGGCTGATTTGCAGCACGTGTTGGAAGTGACGGAGCACTCCAAGCGGGCGCACACACAGGCCGCCGCCGTGGGCGCCACTGCTGGCTCGGGCAGCAGCCGCAACAGCAGCAACAGCAGCAACAGCAGCAGCAACAGCACTCGCAAGGGGAAGCGCAGGCGCACTCGTTCCAATTCCACACGCAAGAGCACGCCAGCAAGTTCGCGTGCATCCTCAACGCGAACCACGCCCGTGAAAGGAGCAACGACTCCTTCCCGCTCACAGCGCAGCAGCAGCGGCCGTCACACACGTCAAACACATTCGTCATCCTCATCGCGTGACACTCGCAGCTCTGACGCCGCCGCCACGTCCACTAAGCTTGGTGCTGTGACAGCAACACCACCACCAACAACAACAACAACAGCAGCAGCAGCAACAAGTGCCCACGCCCCTGCTCCCTTGCCCACAGCCGCTTCAAGCACAGGTGCAGTGGCAGTACCACGACTGCATCGCAGCACGGCAACTCAGCGGTCGGTATCCGAGCCGCAGCTCAGCACGGGCGCGTTCTCGCTCGCTGTGCCGGCACCTGCCATGCCATCCTCCACCAGCATGCCTGCTGTCTCGACCATCGACGACGCGTGGGATGTGGCGCACGGTCTGATGGCATCGCACAAGGACCACCAGTTTGGTATGGGAAATTCTGTGGCGGTGACCGCGGTGCACACCCACCCCATCTCCACGTCGAATGCAAGCAGTCTTGGCCAATCCACCCACACCTTCCAGCCGCCGCCACCACCGGAGACAGTGGACCTGCAACTTCTAGGATCAGACAGCCACGCCCATGCTTCACACCACAGCACACCAGTCACTGCCCCGTCTCACCCTACTGGTGCTGGTGTTGGTGCTGGTGCTGGCGCTGGTGTCACATCCACGCACTCGCGCATGGCAACGACCACCACTTGTTCGTCATCGTCGACATCGTTGTTGCTGTCGCCATTCCGCTGGGCAGAGCCCCGCTTCCCGCCCGTTACAATCTCGCCAACACGGAGCCCACACACTACACATCTGCAATGAGTGGCTGCCCCTGTGTGTGTATGTGTGCGTGTGCGTGTGTGCGTGTGTGCGTGTGTGCGTGTGTGTGCGTGTGCGCGTGCATGTGTCGTTGTTGGCTGCTTAACTTGCCTAACTATCAATCTATCTGCGTTGCTTTGTGCCTGTTTGTGGTGTGTTTTGCGTGATGTCCATGTGTGGTGTGAACACGTCGCGCACGCGTGTGTGTACGTGTGTGCAGTGGACGCGCGACTGTTTGTTGCATCTGCATGTGCCTGTTGGTATTGATGGCTTGTTTCAATCCTCGACAGTTGTTTCGAGGAGGATATGCTTGCTCGATGCAATAAACGCTTGAAGAGTCTTCACTGAGCGGATGCGAGCGAACAAGTGAAGCATTGCGTGGCGGTGGCGATTGTGGTGGTGGAGGTGCTGCTGCAAAGAGTCGAGGTGGACTGACTCAATTGTGTGGAATAAACTTACTGGATCGGTGTTGTTTTAATTGCTCGCATACATGCACACACGACACACACTCGCACAATCAGAGTCAGGAAGGGATGTTTGAATGCCACCACGGTCATAGTCACGGTCACGGTCGCGGTCACACACACACACACACACACACACACACACACACACACACACACACACACACACAGGTCATCGAACGACAAGGTGGCAAACGGTTGATGAAGCAGCAGTCTTGCTCTTATCGCTTGCCTCTCGCTCTCCGCTGTTGTTGTTGTTGCTGCGGTTGACGTTGTTGCTGCTGCTTGGGCGTGTTCACGCCAACAACACGCTGGCCCTGCCGCGCTTGCAACGCGCGCCCTTGCTGGTTGTTGTTTGGTGCAAAGCCAACAACACGCCGTGGCTTTTGCACTGCGCGCAACAGTTGCAAACGTGGATGATGATGAGGATGTGGTGGGCAAATCATGAGGGTTTGATGAAGTGCGGGGTTTGGCAAAGAGTGATGGAGTGCTCTGAACAGTCAACCAGAAAAAATAAAAACAACCCCACGAAACAACCAAACACACACACACACACACACACACACACACACACACACACACACACACACACACACACACACACACACACACACAAGAAATGTCAAAACGAGGGAGTGAGATGAGCACGTGATTCCCACCTTGTTGGTGAGGTGTTGATTCCTGTGCTTGAATTTGCTGCAGTCGGTGTCGTCGCATGTCCTGTCGGAACTTCTTGCCTGCTCGTGCGTGCATGTGTGCGTGTGCATCAGTGTGTATGTGTGTGTGCGCGTGTGTGTTGGAGGCACAAGTCAGGACGGTGCAAGCACTAACAACAGTGCTTCGCCCCAAACAATCCAATCAACACGTGGCCATCAGCACCCATGCGCCAATGTCAATGCCAATGTCAAGGGCACGCCACGCCCTCACCGGCAAAGGCGAGGAACTTGTAGTCGTCGAGTTTGCGCATGGCGTAACCGAGATGCAGCAGACGAAACACGGCCGCCTCCTCGTGCGGCGAGCACTTGATCACCTGAATATGTGTGTTTGTGTGTGTGTGTGTGTGTGTGTGTGTTTGTATAAAGGGTTGCGGTTGGAGAGGCATGTGATTGATAGTGAAAAGGGGTGTACATGGATGGTTCGTGCTGGTGCAGGTCAACAACACCAGTGCACAACGTCAACAACAGAGAATGTGGAAAGAGCAGCTTCGTTCACACACACACGCACACACGCACACACAAACGCACCGTCTGCATGACATGATCTGGTGCTGCCGGGAAGAGCGTTTTCAAGCGATACAGGGCCTCGTTTGGCGCCGTGTCTGTCTGACGCTGCAACTCAACCACAACCTGAAGAAGCACACGTGCATGCGTGGTTTGAGAAGTTCGAGGGTGTTTGCGTGTGTGTCTGTCGTGCAGAACAGAGAGTAGGTAAACAATCAAACATACGACACGGTGATACATTTTGCAGAACTGCACGACGATAAACACACACACACACCTTGTTCTTCTGCCTGTCTCGCTTGACGTGACCACCACGTTTTGAGCGGCGGGCGAGCGTCTGCCAGAGCGATTTTCGCTCGTCTGTGTCCTTCTCTTTGATTACAATCCGCCCGCCCTGTCCACAGCCAGTGCATGTGCATGTGTGCATGCATGTGTGTGTGCGTGAGTGAGTGTGCATATGTGTGTGAATGCATAAGTGAGTGAGTGCTTCCACCCGTACGTGTGGACGATGTTGCACAATCCACACAGGCACACGGTCACCACAACCGCCACCACCCTCACCACCATCGCCAGCACCAGCACCACCACAGAACTGTCACCTGCTTGCGCGAGTAGGCCCTCATGATGAAGGCGCCAAGCGTGATGCCAACAAGCACCGCCCATGTGATGTACCTGTCCCCACAGAGTGATGTTGTTGATGATGATGATGATGATGATGATGATGATGATGATGATGATGATGATGATGATGATGATGATGATGATGATGATGATGATGATGATGATGACGACGACGATGATGATGATGATGATGATGGTGGTGGTGGTGGTGGTGGTGGTGGTGGTGGTGATGGTGATGATGATGATGGTGGTGGTGGTGGTGGTGGTGATGGTGATGGTGATGGTGATGATGATCATCATCATCATTATAGTGACGGTGGGTACAATTCAAACGCTCAGTGAACGCAGTGACCGTGCCGACGTGGTGACAATGACAGCAAGAAGGAAGCACATAGGTGATGGTGCCAACATCCATGACAATAAAGGGCACCGGGTCTCCATTGCATCATGTTTACGTGCTTGCAGGCAACGAATGGCGGGGCGTACCAGTGGGAGATGATCCAATCAAGTGTGGAGCCACTGAGGAAGATATCGAGGGGCGTGGCAGCCGACGATTCAAAACACGTCCCATCCGGCGTACACACCCCTGACAATATGCACGATGAGAAGGGAACGCATGTATTGTGTTTTGTGTGTGTTTTGTGTCGGGGTGTAAGTGTATGTGTTTTGTGCGTGTTTTGTGCGTGTGTCATGTGTGTGTGTGTGTGTGTGTGCGTGCGTGCGTGTGTCATGTGTATGACATGGGGTTAGAATATGGCAAACGCTGTGCGAAGGCGTTTCCATTGGCTTTGCTCTCTTTTCAACGAGAGAATCACCACGACCACCACAACAGTCACAATCTTCACCCATCCCCTCATCATCATCACCAACGACACCATCACGACAATCATCACCATCACCACAGCCCCGTCGCACCTTGGAAGTTGTTGCACGAGCGACCACTGGCGCGAAGGGCGGGCTCCTGCAGTGTCAAGTGATGCGTTGAGATGAAAGGGTGGTGCGTTGACGTGAGTTAAGGATTGGACCGAGGTGAGCAAGTGCTCGAGTGGGGTGAATGTGTGTGTGTGTGGCGAGAGGGGGGGGGTCAGCACAGGCACAAACAAACAAACAAGCACGCATGCACAAACAAGCACGCACGCACAAACAAGCACGCACGCACAAACAAACAAACACACACATACACAATTACACACCACTTCTGAGTTTGGCACGCCGTTCTTGGTGATGTTCATGCCATGTGGAGTTGTCGCATAGTCGATGGTGCTGTTGCACACGCCCTGCTGGAACTCACACGCCACATGGCACGCTTTGGCACCCGTCAGCGCGCACTGAATCGGTGTATACTGAAGTGGTGGTAGTGGGAGGGGGAGGAGGATGGGTGGCGACAAGGGTGACGACCATGTGAGCGGAGGTGATGCACAACACACAATCAACACATAAGTACGACACACACGTAAGTACGACACACACGTCCACACACATGCGCGCACACACACACACACATCCACACACATACGCGCACACACACACACACACACATCCACACACATGCGCACACACACACACACATCCACACACATGCGCGCACACCCATCACGCTTCCACCGGCGTGCACTCACAGCGGAAGTGTTAAATCCTGGAGAGGGCATCTGTCCAGCCACATCTGTCGATTGGTACTGCGAGCAGAGAGACCCTGAAGACGGAAGATTGACCACACAAGACAGACCGAAGTCATGTGGCGGTGGCGTTGAGGTGCATGGACAACGTGGGAGGATGGGCACAGCGAGCAGGTGTGCATGATAACAGTATGCAGACACACACACACGCAACATAGCAGTGCTTATCAGCGTACACAACAACAACAACAACAACAACAACAACAACAACAACAACAACAACAACAACAACAACAACAAACAACAACAACAACAACAACAACAACAACAACAACAAACAACAACAACAACAACAACAGAGTCGCACACATACACAACATACATTCATACATACACACACACACACAAATCGGACACACACACACGCAAATCGCACCAGCGCAGCCTTCGAGGACGCAGATGTTTGATCCCTCGTTGCAGGTTGTGCCGAGGGGTTTGTGGAAGGTGTAGTCGTTGTTGGCGTCAAGGATCACTTCGCACTGCGACACACTCGCGTCCCCGCGGCAGTTGGGTGGATCTGTGTCGTTGTGGTACGGGTAATGCACCTCCGGACACTGTCCAAGCAGTGTCGGGTCCTGGGTTTGGAGGGCGAAGTGGTCAACAAGAACAGGGGTGAACAAGGACAGGGGTGAACAAGGACAGGGGTGAACAAGGACAGGGGTGAACAAGGACAGGGGTGAACAAGGACAGGGGTGAACAAGGACAGGGGTGAACAAGGACAGGGGTGAACAAGGACAGGGGTGAACAAGGACAGGGGTGAACAAGGACAGGGGTGAACAAGGACAGGGGTGAACAAGGACAGGGGTGAACAAGGACAGGGGTGAACAAGGACAGGGGTGAACAAGGACAGGCGTAAGGGGCGGCAAGGAGGGGCCGCGGCGGGCGAGGTTAGAGGTGAGGGTTTCGGGTGAGGGTTTCGGGTACAAACAACGGAACAATGGGTTGGATGCGTGTGGTGGGCAGTGGGGTGGGGGTGGGTGAAAATGGTATGGGATATGTGGGGTGTGTTGATGCGAGCGTGGCGTGTGACGACAGCAGGAGGGATGGAGGAGGGGGAAGTGGTTGTCGCCACTTCAACGGCATTCGTGTGTTTGTGTCAAAGCAACAAGAAACAAACCGGTTGCCTCCCGTCAGCAACGCACACACACGCACACACACGCACACACACACACACACACACACACACACGTGTCTCGAATGCAGAATGGGACCTTGATGCAGTAGCGTTGGGTGTAGCAGTCTTGCTCCTCCGCACACACAATATCCGAAGTAATGTCCCCTGGTGAAGATGGTGAACAGGAAGAAGAAGATGAGTGAATGAATGAATGAATGAATGATGACGACGGGCGTGGTGGTAGCGGTGAAAGCGAGAAACGAGGCGTGTGTTTGGTGGGGTTAGGTTTTCAATACGCAGGCAGACACACACACACACACACACACACACACACACACACACACACACACACACATTCCCTCCCAATCTCCCCGAGCAACCGAAATGTTTGAACAGCTGTCACGCATACCTGGATTTGGAGTGACACCCATGTCAATACCAACGAGCTGGCAGTTGCTGCAGCAGGGGCCAGAGTTCTCGCTGTCGCCATCACGGTGGCGGTGGCGCAGTTATCGGTGTGGTGTACGTGATGATGGTAGTGATGGTAGTGATGGTAGTGATGGTAGTGATGGCAGTGCATTGAACAGCGAGTGTGTGTGAGCACACCGACTGAACATCTCTATGGTGCGAAGACGAATAGGTCATAGAGTTAGCTCCCCTCGCACAGGCACAGGTACACACACACACACACATGCACCCACCCCCACACACACATGCACACACCCACATGCACACACCCACATGCACACACACACAGGAACCTCTGCTCACATGCACACACACACACACACATACGCACCTGCATTGTGCGCCGTTGATGAGTTCGCAGTTTTCGTTGCAGCACGGGTCCTCCGCACACGCAGCCTGCAGGGCGACGTGAGAGGATGGTGACGGTGACACGTTGACACATTGATGTATTGGGGTGAGAGGAAGCAGACGATAGAGCGTTTGATGCACAGCCAGGTCACACACACACACGTGCAGAGAGATGCACGCGGACGATGCCACACGGCACAGCACAGGCAAAACCAAGACAAACCAAGGCGAGCAAGCACACATGACATGCAGCACTGACACCACCACCACCATCATCACCAGCACAGTCTCATGCAACACCAACACCAACACCACGCATCAAGATGCACCGCACCCCGCAGTCGCACTCCTCGTTGATTTCGAGAGCGCCGTTGCCGCAGAACGACGCCTGCGTCTCCGTGAAGCAGAAGCCGCCCGCACCGCTACCTGTGTTGATGCGCTGGTGATAGATGATGATGGTGGGACGAAAGGATGGGTGTTGCGTTCGTTGAGAATGCGAGGCGAAGAACTATCACACAGAGGTGCACACAGACACACAGACAGACACAGAGGTGCACACAGACACACAGACAGACACAGAGGTGCACACAGACACACAGACAGACACAGAGGTGCACACAGACACACAGACAGACACAGAGGTGCACACAGACACACAGACAGACACAGAGGTGCACACAGACACACAGACAGACACAGAGGTGCACACAGCCACACACAGCCACACACACACACACGAACACACACACACACACACACACACACACACGAACACACACACACACACACACACACGAACACACACACACACA